CCAAAATACTGTTCTGAATTCCCAAAAAAATCAATAATCAAATCCCATTATTCCGAATTTAAGCAGAAATCAAATCTTTGTACTCTCAAAATTCCCTTCAAATCCGAAGCTGTTTTGTTTTTTTTTTAAACTTTTTTGTTACTTTATTTTAACTAGGAATTTTTCAGCTTTTTATTTCTATTTCCTTATTTTTGTTTTGCTTGAAGTTAAGAAGAAAATGTGATATTATTTATTTATTTGTTATTATAGATTGCAAGGTTATTAATCATCAATTATCAACCATCAACCATCAACCATCGATTCTCCTAACAACAAAATGATTTCTTTTTTCAACTTTTGTTGAGTTTATCTATTATATAAAGTGCTTCTAACTTAGAATTTTAAAGTAAAGTGAAGTCCAAGTTTATAATGGGTTTTAGTCCATATTTAATTTTACATAAAAATATATTTCATAATAATAAATTTAAAATAATATATAATATTTTTTTGATATTTAATATGTACCATTTGAAAAAAAAAACTAGTATATATGTCGGTACAAAATTGAAAACTTTAGGTTTATGTAGTATTTTGAAAAGTTAATATATTAGTATATCTCCTTTTATCCAGTGTTCAACAAAAATTGCCCATGCAAAATGTGTTTGGCAAATTTGACATATAGTTTGGAGTAAGCATTTATAGTTTGATATATATATATATATAGATATAATTAATCGTTAATTACCAATTTACCATACGACTTATTAGTGGTTAATTACCTCATGCTTCCGTGTGCTGATTTGGGTCGGTGGCGCAAGCATGCTTAACAAGTTCAAGCACAGCTTCAAGGAACCTCGATGGGGAAAAAATGTCTACATACGTCCGGATGTTGATTTCTTGTCTCATTAGTATGTGGTGAAATTATGGATGAGAAATACGAGAATGACGTGGGTGATTTCAGAGCTGTTAGTTTTTGTTCATAATCATACGTGTTTTTGGAGGGAAAAGAATGAAATAGACAGCGGCAGCTGTACAATTCTTGGTTTTTGTTCATAATCATGACGTGTTTTTGGAGGCAAAAGAATGAAATGGACAGCGCACTACAGCTTTTTTGTCATTTAGCTACGCTTACCCATGCCTACTCTTTCGTAGTTATCGGGTTTTATTAGTTATGATTTATGATTTATGGGTATATAAATAAATTATAACTATATTTATAAAAAAATCATAAGAAAAATTATATTATACTTATGTAATTTTAGTTAGTGTAAGTATATAAAAAAATTATTAGTTACAATATGTAATTTATGGGTATATAAATTTAAAATTTACTTGTAAACATAAAAAATCATAGATATACACAAGAGATATACCTTTAATCATGTATAATTATGGGTATAATATTAACTTATACTTATGATTTTTTATAATTATAAGTATATACTTACTACCAAAATTTATAATAAATTAACTACTATTTAATTAATGCTTTTGACTAATGTTTCCATGTACATAAGATCAATTTCCCCTTTTTTAACAATGCGCTAAAAAAAAAAAAAAACTTAGTTTGAAATTGAGAAGAAAAAAGTATCAAAAATATAAAAAGTACTTGAAATCATATACTACATTTTTTCCAAGTAAAAGAAAAAAAGATAAATAACCTTATTAATAAACATATCAATTCGTCAAAAAGATAACAAAAAAATCTTTATATAACTAATAATGATCATTATTAAAAAATATAAAAAGTTTTCATTCTTTGGATAAAAAAAGATTTCAATGCATAATAATTAAAGTTTTGTGATTAATTAAATATCTTTTGAAAGTTGAGGGGCTGAATTAAAAGAAGAATAATTCCTTTTGGACAGAAATGAATGACTCTTAGGTTATGGGTTATAAAAGCTGGAGGACCAGATCTGTCATCTTACCATTGAAGAAATTGCAAAAATGGGCCGGAAACCCGACGCAGGCATGGTGTCGACACATTATTCGTGATGTCAGCACGATGCGATAAGAAGAATATGTTAAAAAAATATTATATTCAATAAAATATAAAAGATTTCGTTTAGTCACATTTAGCTTTTTTATTGGAATTCAACTGGTGTAATTTATTGAAAAGGAGTAATTGATTTATATTTATATGATTATATAAATATATAATTTTATCCCATAAGAATTGTCATTTTGTAATTGATTTTTTAGAGATTAGTGTATATTAATTTTAATTTTAAAAAATAATTAGAATCTTAATTTATATATAAAAAATAAAATCTTATTCAATTAAATATTGATATTTAGATTTGAAAATGCATTATATATTTTAATATAATTAATTTTTAAATCTAAATATTAATATTTAATAAGATAATTTTTTAATTATTTTAAATTAAATT